ACGCCTGCTGACCTATAGTTGGAATAGAGGTTCCACCAGGTAACAACTTTCTCATCTGCTGATCTTACGCGAAGTCCATTTATTTGATCGAAAAAGACTCAACTGAAGGCAACAAAACAATTCTTATTCAGCCCCATTTCTACTACCGGAAGAAGCAACCAACTTCGGAATGCCAGGATAATTTAAGATTATGTACACCATCAAAGTGATTTCAATTTTATATTACTGTTCACGGCCGTTTCACATCCATTGTAGTCACGGACTTTGTTGAAGAAGAAAAAAAGTATGGAAAAGAAATATTTTAAACGAGCAAAAAGCTCAGTCGACCAGACGATCATTCTTGGCACGTTACGATTGTGCCTACTTAGTTTAGCATTTCCACGAGGCGTCGGCCTATGTAGAGACTCCTAGTAGTAAACGGCAATTCTAAGCTTGTAAAACACTGTTCCCCACAGCTTTGATGTAAAACTAGCGTTGAACGCTTGAAGTCAATCATATTAATAAGCGTCGAATCCTGATGATTCGCAAAATGCGAAGCGAGTCTTTTCATCAAGTAAATTCGAGTGTTGTCACGTATCATCTGCATAAAAACGTATTTGGTACAGCTGCGTCTCTGGTTCTTTTTCTTCCGAATAATGGTAGATTGTCAATATATTCTTGGAGTAATTCTCTCGCAATTTATATCAATCATGCTCCAAATTGGGACGTAGAGATGTACTGCAGGGTTGGAATAACGAAGGAGGGGATCAGTTGCATTAGTCTCGGATGAGGCAAATCCTCGACCAGGATAAAGGGTCTGCGTGTTAGAATGGGGTAACTTAACAGTAGTAATCGAGAATATTATTGGCATCTAAAACTTGTTTACAAACTGAGACGCAGCATCAGGTCACGTGAGAGCAAGATGAAAACCACTGGCGAAAAATACCACCACCAGGTATTTATTGCCAGTGTTCTGAACGAGGTAGTGATAAGGCAAGTCATTTTCATTACCCAGATCGATGGGACCAGGAACTTCTTTAAACTCTACAATATGATCATTCTACTACTTATTATTTCGGAGAGTTACCGGGTACGCTATTTGCAGGCACCGATTTGAAATTTTGCTGGTAAAAAGTAATATCCTGCCTATGTATGCTAAGTGGAGCGTTCCAGAGATCTCCCACCGCTCTTACCCGTTCTTGATGACCTCGCACTTGACAGACGTATTTTGTTGATCGTTAGGTTTCATGAAATCTCATAAGGATCTTTCAGATAGACGAGGCACTTCGTCAATGAACTCCACTGATTCTGCTCGAAATTTGACCACACATACACATTGAATATTCGGACCATGCTTGAGATTCAAAAGAGACATCACAGGGATTGCAGGTGCCACGGCCTCTTTTTACCACGCTCAGGTTTTAAAGTGGAACTTCTGTGAAGCAAATACTGATGAATTGGCAGAGATTATGTCAGAACTACATCTAAAAGTGCTCATTCTAGAATCTAAGTTAGAAAAACTAAATGTGTGTATGAGAAGTAGGTATTTAATAACCTATGGAAATCACCGCAAATCTCAACTTATTATATCGTATGCATACACGATTCAAAGAGGTTTGGGTCCCGTCAGAAGTGGGCCAGACTTTAAGGAAATTTTACACGACCCTGATTGTACTTGCCCATATCTTATGGAATTTCTCCATCGCTTCACGACACCAAACTTGCTCACAAAAAACCGTTTGTAGCCAAATCAAACATTTCAATACATTTACGCTTTGATATCTTAAGCAAATAAATAGATTGCAGCGTTTCTGTGTATTAATCTTCTTTCTACCCTGTCGTTCGGTCTTGTGTAGCCTCTCTGATCCTCCAAATTATTTATTAGGACGAGCTAAACAGTGCTATAAAATGAAGTATAGTCAGGTATTAGCATGAAGTGCATTGTTTCAGTCGAGGCCAAATTTGTGCGACCATCCATTATTCCCGTAAACTTGTTCCCATAACATTTTGTGCGCTGCTTATTGAAATTGTTATGCGAAAAACTATCATACGTCCATGTTAGTGTAAACGGTGCCATTTAGTGCGTATGTGCATAGCTCATGTATTAAAAATTGTATTTGGTAACAAGCCAAAAGCGCACGGCCAGGGAAGAGTATAAAAATTTAATTAAAGCAAAGAGATCAATACGTTGCTCAAACAAGAACGGTTTCTACTTTGTCTTCACACTACAGACGTTGGATACATCGGCGCGGTGTAGACTCAATCAAGTATTTTGTTGAATACCGACGTATATTTCTAAATGCTTCGATGATGAAGCTCGAATCATTTTCTTTTAACTTTCCGTTCTTATTTTACTGCCTTTACATTAACGTCCACATGTTTTCGGATTGATTTGAGGCCGGAAAACGAGCAGGCCATTCCAAAAATACACGATGTGATTAGCAAGTAGTTCTATAGTTGTCAAAGACGTAGGGTTGGAATAGTTGTCCTGCTAAATCATGGAGTGTTTACCGTATTCACAACGTGCAAACGGAGACAGATACTTAGTATTTTGTAGATGTAAATCCTCAAAGTTCTGCATCCCCATCAAAACGGCCAGCCCGGGTTTTTCGACTCCGCTAAACCACTCCAAAAAATACTATATCATCCTTCAAATCATGAAGATTTATCGGCAGTGATAGGCACACGCGTGTCTCGCCATTTGTGCTTTGGGATTCCTGGTCCACCTAGATTCTTTATTATAAGAGAAAAGGACAGTCTCTAATTCCTAAAAAGGTATAAGAACTTTCTGGGCAAATAGTTTGAACACTTTGGATTACGTTTAAGCCAACACTACACTAAGAAGCAGCGCACATCTAATAAATTTTCCGTCTCCCCGTGGGATTTGTGGTCAGCACCGGTCAGCACACGTTTACGTGCGTCACGCGAACGTCTTACAGCGGGCTCGTCGGCGCACGTTGTTATATCGACTTATACAGCAACATAATCCGTATATTCTTCACGTCAGGTAGCGCTTACCCTTCCTCATCTTTTCAGCTATACCGACGCATCTGGATGCGTAATAACAAAAAAAAATTATACGCTCGTTCTTGGCCACTAATTTTTTGGCCAAGTGCCAAAATTAGTATGTTGTGTCTGAGCTTTACCACAACCACAAAAAATGGTACCGTTTGCGCTGCATATAGATAAGTTTATTTCAATATCATTGACAAAGTGGTACATGATACGTTTGCGCATAACAAATTTAAACAGCAATACCCATCTCGTACTGGTTATGAGGTTATGAGGAAAAATAGAATGGCCATATGTGCATAGACTGGACTGTAATACCATCGGATTTATCCTATGCACTTTTTGAAGCATTCTCGTACCTCGGGTATCCCGCTCACGCTTAGCTTGGGCTTATCTTCTGTTGCAATACAGCGGCGTGCGGTCGTAGCTTCGTAATACATAAACTAGACGTTATGTAACAATTTAAAAAATTCGCAGTATTTAAAGCGTTTCATATAGTGACTATCCCAAACACGCCTACTATAATTTCTGTCTTCGTTTTTAATGTGGGCGCGTGTGGCAGTTGCTATATTGTACATCAATAAAGCTTTAGGTAACCATTTTACACATTTGTAAATTAGCTGAGCATTTGCATGCCGTGACTGTTTTGAGCATGTCACCCTTTAGTTTTAGCTTCTGTTTCGATTTGGCATCGACCCTCGTTTTCTTTATAAGTTTAAACCAATTTCAAATAAAGATTAGGGAGGAAGCAAAAGTTGGCAGCATAGTCACTAAAGTGCCAATTAATTAGTACTTACCAAGATTGTCGCAAGAAAGTCGAGCTTTCTTCTGAGGTTCTGTTCATAATGATTGGTACGTACCGAGATTGTTGCGAGAAAGTCGAGCTTCGCGCCTAGCTCACATTTCTGCAAAAAAATTCGGTAGACACACTTTCTCCGTTTTTTTTTCTAGGACTTACATAGAGCAATTTGCTTTAGCATTGCTTGTTCGTTCGTTTCGTCAGAATAAATTTAAAAAGAAAAAGAAAGCCAACACGTTATACTTTGATTTGACAGAGAGAACACGTATCATGTCATTCAAGTTCGGGGGGGGGAGGCTCAGTAACCCTGGCATAGCTTTAAGCTGAAAATAGTGTGCTTCCTCGAATGTGGTAAATTATATACATTGCCACCATCTTTCTAAATTGCTGCATTTAAAAACGACTGTAACGAAAGAACGTTGTCTTCAACTTTTTTTATCTTTAGACCCGTGAATGAACTTTCGATTGCATATGCCAACTCTTAGTAGCTGCAAGGCGCCGTTCATGCTACATTATCGGACTCGACCGAAATAGCCTAAGTCCAGCACCTTAAAGTACAGGCTATTGGGAGACTAACACAAAAAGCTCAGTTCACGGCGCAACTGTTAGCCAGCCTCACTAGCGAGCAATTATTTATTCCTTGACATGTGGCCGCGCGTTGTCCTCTCATAAGTATATAGATTCCCATTGGCTGCAATGCGGAACCCCGGTGGCAATAGCAGGGATGACGTTGCCTGTAATGGGGTAGCCCGTTACATGATGTTGAAACCAAACGGTGTCAATAGGGAGATTGTCTAGCGTGACGATTCCCTACCAATATTATCCAAGATGAATAATATCGAAGGATTGTTATCCATTTTGTAGTATAATATTTATGCGCTTCTCAAAGCTTTGTTGATAAATATGTATCAACCAAGGTTACCACCAATCGCTGCTAGACACTCTTTATGCGTGGTGAGCAGGTTGTCGTCATACGAAAGCGTATATTAACATAATCAGACAAAGACTAAATTTAGATTGATAGGTTAAATGTAATTAATACAGTTCTCTTTTTACCCTTTACTCAGCTTAGTTGTTGAGTAGATTATCTTCCTTTGCACGTACTAGTGTACGTGAAGTTTCGGGGTACCCCAAGCAAAGGATGACCCGTTGCACATAGTAGCACTTCGTATTCCGTCCAGCGACTACTTTATGTCCGTCCGACATAAACATGTTGGACGTAGAAGACGACAGCTTTCACGTCACACGTGAAGGCTACTCCCATCTGAGTGAATCAGAATGGGAGGTAGTCGACTGCACGAGTGTGCTCATGGGCGAACCTGCCATCAGTGGAATGTTGGAGTCTCTAAGCAGAGACCAGCAACATGCTGCTATCAACAAGTTCCTACAAGGGGAACTTGCCGTCGGAGGACAGAAGGTAGCCTTGCTACAACAGCAAGGCTCTCATCAGTCGATGGGCGGGCCGACGCACACGCGTAGACGCGGAACCTAGCAGATTGATATCTCAAGGTACAAGGGAGCCAATGAAGATTCTTCTTTGAATTGGTCCGTCGAGTTAGAGAACGCCATCAGGGCCCGTCACATCGAGTGTGACGAGATGCAAGTCACATTTGCCCTGTCAAATTTGACAGGACGAGCAACGACTTACGCCTCGGGGATCAAGCTTCGTGACTCAAACGTGTTTGAGTCGTTGGGGATTTTGGATTCTCGGCTCAAAGACACGTTTGAGGTGCCACAAGCCGAGCTCAAAGCACGCTCTGCACTCTTGAGGTTAAAACAATGTACGCGTGATGTGCATGCTTACGCACAACACCTACGCTACCTTGCGAGTAGCGTTACGGAAAACCCTTTTGATGAGCACACGCTCATCAACGTGTTTATCTACGGCCTTGTAGATGAGCCGGTGAAGACCTACCTGTCCAGAGAGAACTTCCATACGCTGGAAAAGGCGATAGCGCATGCGGCACAAGAAGTCTTCAGCCTGAGACAGTCTCAGGCTAACTCGTTAAGCTATCGTCTAAAGAGACGACAGTAATTATGAGGTTCCAAAACGATGGGCCTCTGTTGCATCAAGAGCAAAACCTCTCGCTCTCTGACTCACAAGCGAACGGCAAGATGCCATCGCTGTAAGAAGATTGGACACTACGCCCATGAGTGTCGTGTCCCAAGCACCGCAACACGTCCAAGACAGGAAGTGATGACCGGCGTTGGCCGAAGAAATGTCCAAGGCGCGGGTCCGACCATGTCGCTAAGCCGCGACAGCAAGTCGGACCGCCAAAAACTGACAGTATCAGAAGGGGCGGAGCACCCTGCTGATCCAGCAACGTCAAGAGAATTTGCTGGACTCTTGACGAAGATTGCTCCCAACACACAGTCGCTGTGTGTTACTGCCCCTAGAGATGAGGTGTCCCTCATTACTTTGAAGATCGAAGTGACAAGTGGAATGTCACTTTGCGCCCTAGTTGACTGTGGGGCGTCGAACTGTTTTATTCGATGCCAGTTGCTAGGGGATAGTAAACTCAACTATGTTGAGCGAGAGTTCCCTCCAACGAGGATGACGGTGTGCCTTGCTACAGACGCATCCGTAACAGTGAATAAACGTGTAGTGGGATTCCACTACACGCTAGAAGGAAAGCAGTACGATGATGACTTCATCGTACCAAATTTGGATGACAAATTTGATGTCATCCTCGGTCTGCCATGGCTCAGAAAGTACTAGCCATGGCTGAGCTGGCAGCATCGATCCGTAAAGATGCCTGTGTTTGTTCATCAGATGGCCATCTGATGAACGTCTTGCAGATGTACTACGAGTGAGTACGATGGCCTCACTTGTGGTGCTGTCGTTAGTATGACTGCACAAGATCACAGTGCAGAAGGCCACTACACTGTTGAACCAGCTTCCGGGACCTATGTAGAGAGACAGGCTGCGCCGAAGGTTCACCACTCGAAGAGATCGAGTGGACTAGAACAAGGATGCACACCAAGAAGGGTGCATCCGAGAAAAGAGATTAGTGCTGTACAGGATGAATAACGCGTTAAAGCGAGATCGACTGAAAGAGAGTCGATCGAAGAGGACGTGACGTGGTCGTAGACCCACAGTCAGTACACGTATCAGGAGAAAGTTCCAGCGTATCAGAGAGTGATAAATCATGAGAGAGTTCCAATTTGGCTCGAAAAAAATAGCAGCGGCACTTGGCGAATTCGAAACGAACGCAGCCAAGACAACAAGACATTGCAAAAGCATTGCATAACACTCACAGCACATTGCAATTTCCTGTTACACTTCCATACTAAAGTCCACAACCCTTTTTTGGCTCGCAAACAACAATAGGAAAATACTTTCACTTTGCCCTGTTATATTTCCATACTAAAATCACCAAATTTGGCTCGAAAAACAATAGCAGCGGCACTTGGCGAATTCGAAACGAACGCATCCAAGACAACAAGACATTGCAAAAGCATTGCATAACACTCACAGCACATTGCACTTTCCTGTTACACTTCCATACTAAAGTCCACAACCCTTTTTTGGCTCGCAAACAACAATAGGAAAATACTTTCACTTTGCCCTGTTATATTTCCATACTAAAATCACCAAATTTGGCTCGAAAAACAATAGCAACGGTACTTGGCGAATTCGAAACGAACGCAGCCAAGACAACAAGACATTGCAAAAGCATTGCATAACACTCACAGCACATTGCACTTTCCTGTTACACTTCCATATTAAAGTCCACAACCCTTTTTTGGCTCGCAAACAACAATAGGAAAATACTTTCACTTTGCTCTGTTTAAATTTCCATACTAAAGTCTTCCAATTAGTATTAGAAAACAATAGCAATGACACTTTGTGCATTTGCAAGCAAACACAACTATCTATAGCTTGCTCTAAGCGGTCTTCTAAACCACTTAGCTTAAGCCTTATTATTATTAAACCGATTGATCGGTTCGCGAACTTTCGCTCTTGTTTGCAGCAGCGAAAGTAATTAACT